AATTATCTGATATTTTCATCTATTTAGCTATCACAGAAAAATTAAAAATAATTAATAAATTTTATATTAATTAAGATGAGAGATCAATTAATATAATAAAATTATATTAATTGATCTCTCAGGGTCCTTCATGCTTTATATCTTAAGTCTGTATTGCATTTAGATTAGACAAAAATTTTGCTTTGCCAAATACAGCCAGTCCCAAGCCCGGATAAAATGTGGAGGGTGATTGGCAAGGTTAGCAACCTACCAATCGTAAAAACAAAATACTGCTCAAAGAAACAATGTACAGGCTCAGAACTGGATTGATACTGTAACGAATATTTTGCTTACCATAGGGTAAGAATATGGGGGGACAAGATTGGGCAAACAAAATAATCGAAACAAATGCATACGGCACTCAGTTGGTTGTTGGAGAGCTGGGTCGTGGATAAGTTGAAGATATTGGGGGTTGGATTGGGCAACTACAAAAAAAAAAAGAAATAAAGGGGTACATTATACAAATCTCTTGGGACAAACAGAATGAAAATAAACGGAAACACCTCAAGAAATTTAATATAAGGCGTTACTTGAGGTGCCTAATTATACCTATTACAACCACTAGTTGTAACTAGAGAAATAATTATAGAACATCTAAAGTATAGAAAAAAATATCTTTTTCAAATAAAACTCAAAATAGATCAGAGAAACAAATTGAACGTTTATTCTTGTCTCAAACAAACAGTTATCCAAAATATAGATTACAAAAGAAACATACTATATCATAATACAAAAAAAACAAACTTACATGTCTTTCCACTAGGAAACTAAGTTCCTGTAGCTGGCTGTATACCATATATCACAAAAAATTGTTTAAAATCCTTTATAAAAGGTATATAAAAAATGCCCCAAACGGGCTATCACAAACACATTGCAAAACGTTTTCGGATTGATAAATCCATCATCAGTGCAAACGGTTGTACATGCTAGTAGCCACCAAAATATATGGGCCAAAACCCTTTAAATGTTTTAAATTTGTAGTTGTTTTACATTATTAATAGTTATAATTTGTGATGTTTAAGTTACCGTTGGATAGGTAACATGGCGGCGTATGACTCTACATAAGTAAAATGGTCCTGAGACGAAGTGTCTACGAGGACCTGTTGATAACAACTGATAGTTGTTATCAACAGGTCATGTTGATATGATCATGTATGAGTCATGTCTATATAAAAAGAAGAAGAAGAAGAAAGGTGGAGATTAAAAGTATAATTGTATTCTTAGGGTAAGGGTTCTTACCTGAAGAGGGCCCCCATAGATGGTAAGCCGCTTTGAGGACCTGTACTAGGTGTAACTGGATTTAATACCAGAATTTAATAACTGGGAGTAACGGGATGAAGTCTGAATATTTAATATATGGTGATACAGTGGGCAATATTTTTACAGACATCATCCTTTTTTCTGAGAAGGTGTTAAAGAGAATCATGAACATGAAGTTAATTATCGACTATGAGTTGTGTCAGGTTCGGGATTTGCTCACAAGTACCTTTTCGTTTACAAACCCACTTGTTCCTGTGGTATTTCATAATATAGGTAAGTTTTTAATCTTTTTTTAATTGTAATGATTTTACTGGGCATTACTGTGTTTGCACATTGAAAATATCTACTATTAACACTAAAAATACCGTGGAAAACTAAGCAGACAAATGACGCAGTCCTCAACAGAGCAGAAGCTACTCGTCAGCTAATTGATACTGTCAAATTAAAAAAATTGCGTACATTTGACATATAATGCCGTGAAAACTGTTTAATAGTTTTCGACTAATTATTATAATAGACAAAATCGAAGGACGCAGAAAGCAGAGGTTTATGGCTGAAGAATGTCAGAGAATGGACTGGGACACAGAGAGCCAAACAACTGTTCAGAATAGCTCAATACAAAGATAATCTTGCTGTGCTAACCACCAACGTCAAGACAACTTGATAATGCATGTTAAAAAGACGTTGATTTCTGTTTTTTTTTTTAATTATAGACACGTTTTCGTCATGTTTGCTATTATCATCATCATCATCCTGCCCCATTTTCACATCAATTGTTGGATATAGACGTCTCCAGTTCTCTCTATCTCTAGCTGCTGCAATCCAGTTTGTTTCTATTCTCCTTAGGTCGTGGGTCCATCGGGTGGGTGGTGTGCCTCGACTAGGTCAAGACTGGTAAGATACATTGGTTAAATGCCTTCCTTTTCAAGTGAATTGGGATATTTGTTTTAAAAATGTCTCCTTCCATATGCCGCCCATCCCAACGTGATTTGTCTATTTAGCTTGTATTTTTGTATGTCTCTGGTTATTCTAATTTCATGACCCAAGTATGTGTATTTATTGATTAATTCTACCTTGTTGTTATTGATCTGTATCACTTCGCTGGGAACCATATTGGTCATCATTTTGGTTTTCTCGAAATTTATCTCCAGCCCAGTTTCTTGTAGTAGGTATGTCATTCAGTTCTTGGAGCATGTCTTTGATTATCTGACAGAAACACGATATCGTCCGCAAAACGTGGATGGTTTAATCTTTCTCCATCGATGGATATTCCTTTCTGTTGCCTTGGTGCTCTTTTAAATACATACTCAAGAACGGTAATGAACAGCTTTGGTGACATGGTATCACCTTACCTGACTCCCCTTTTTATCTTTATTTTATTAGTTGGAGAATGTAGACTTATGGTTGTTGTGGCATTTTCATATATATTTTTAACTATATTACAATATCTGTGGTCGACCCTGTAATCTTGTAGTGCTCTTAAGATGGACGGTAGTTTCACTGTATCAAACGCCTTTTTAATGTCTACAAATAGCAATGCCAAGGGACGGTTATATTCGTTAGTTTTTTCTATCAGGGTTTTTAGGCACTGCAGGTGATCGTTTGTGCCGTAATTAGGGCGGAAACCGGCTTGTTCCCGAGGTTGGTAAAAATCCAGCTTTGTCTCTAATCTGTTCGTTATTATTCGGGTGTATAATTTATAAGGATGGTTAAGGAGACTGATTGGTTTGTATCTTTCCAGGTCTGCTATATCTCCCTTGTTGTGTAAGAGTACAGTTATTGAATTATTCCACTTTGTTGGGATATTTTGATTCCGTAGTCATAGATTAAAGAGCTTTTGAATTTTGGCTATTAGTACTAAGTCTCCTATCTTTATCGCTTCCGTGACGACACCGTCCTCCCCCGGAGCTTTGTTATTCTTCATCTTTTTTAGAGCCTTGTAAATTTCGTCCAAGGAGATTTCTGGGATATCTTCGCAACCCTGATTTTGAAGCTTCCTCTGTTGATATTCAACTATATCTAGAGTCGATTGGTTGCAATAAAATGTCTCATAGAATGATTTCACAATTTGTAACAGATATTCTCTATTTGATGTGATGTTACCATTTCTATCCTTGAGTTTGACTATTTGTTTATTTCCACTTGTGAGTTTGCGTCTCATTATTTTCATACTCTTATTTTCCTCAATGGTTTTGATGATTTTCTCATCTTTGTATTTTCTTAGGTCTTTTCTGAGTTCTCTCGATACTTCCTTGTTCATTCTATTTATATCGTCGTTACTAGAGTTTTCGTCGCTTCTCAGTATTCTTCTTTCATGTTTGATATTATGAATCCTAAATTCCTAAATTTGTCTGTACTATTGATTTTTCTTTGTTTGATTTTATCACGTTTCAGTACATTGTTTTTTCTGTTGTTTTGTTTTATGTTTATTGGCATTCCAGGTCTTATGGAATGTGCTCCAATTTTTGTCATAATAAGATTGAGGTTGTCCTCATCTTGGGCGATAATTATTTTCTCTTACAGAGTTTCAGAGTTGGATCTAGGAATATTTTGTGTAGAAAATATAGAGCAGTCTTTTAAATTCTTTAATTGTCTTACATAAGTTATATAATCTGTCCATGATTTTAAATATTTTAAAGTACTTTGTTATAAAAATCTTGAATATGTTGCCTGTGTGAGTCCATTTGAAATAAGGTAAAATAAATAAGAATAAGCCTCACAATCAATTTATTCTACCACAAACGACCGGTTTCGCAACTATGTACCGTTGACCTGAAGATGCACAGCAAAGTATAGCCAGAAATAAAAAAAAACAGATTGAATAGGCAATGGAAACAGAGCATACAAAAACTAATAAGAGCCATTGTGACCTATGATTGTGAAACATGGACCATGCTGAAGAAAGACGAAGATGCCCTGAAAAGTTTTGAAAGGAAAATGACCAGGAAGATTTTTTGCCTGTAGAATTCGTTGACTTAGCCATTTGCTCCAAATGAACAATGAAAGATATACAAAAATAGATCACAAAGAGGCCAAGGATTGCTCTAATAATTAGGTTTCTGTTTTCGACAGGGTTTCTGTCTTGACTGTGCGTTGAATTCTCCAATATAATTTTTAAATTTTTTAAATAATAAAACTTTTCAGTGGATAAGTTTAAAAACCGTAAATATGCGACTACTAAGTAAAAATTTTAGTAGATAATGATCTGCACATATCGATACAGAAATCTTTGTAAAATATTATATTATGATCACCCATTAAATATTGCTGCTAAATATGTGTTTTTTAATTTTTATATTAATATTCTAATGTTTTTAATTCTACGTCATATCTGCTGGTATTTAAATTTTTTTTATAGTTTTTGCACATGATCCAAATAAATTATACATAATTACACACCGATTACCTTTTTTGGACCAAAACAATAGAAAACCGTCTGAAACAAAAAAATGAAACAACTGCCTTGAGAAAACCTCTGCGCACGCCCACGTTCAAACTGAAAACTTCTTTCCGCTTCTGGACATCATTAAGAATTGACCGCACTGTATTAAATACATCCAGTATAGTTCATCAGCTATATATTGTAGAGTAACTACTATATGAACGTCGAGAAAATGATTGTGCAAGTGTCTAAGCTGTGTTTGAACTAGTACACCGCCCTGCTTACGCAACACAGCCTTACCTGTGGCCATACCTGATTCAGTCTGAGTTCGACTCGCGCATGTACAGCAAAGCTCTTAAGATCTCCGCAGTCCAATTTCGGCGGACAAATGAATGTCGTTTGAATAAACAGTGTCTTGGACTGACTTTAGTGCCATTATTTTAAGTTTTTTGGTGATAGTGTCAAGAGCGAAGGAAGAAAAATTGATTTTAACTGTGATAGTGTCGTTTTAAGTGAAGATCTTAGGCACATGTGTTTGGATACATTTAATATTTGCGAGGTAATTTGAAATAAACAAATATTTTGTTGTTTTTAACATTTATGTCGCTGATAAATAATAAAACCATGAACACGATCATATAAAACATATTTTGAAGTAGTTACTGTAAACAACAGTCTGTGAAACAAGCAACAATTAAGTTGATCATAAAAAAACAAAACGTGAGCCAGCCGTAATGATATATGTTACATAATATGAATACAAATTATAACTAGATTTATGATTTTTGTGTAACTAGAATTCATATTTTGTGTACCTTTCATCTGACACAGAAATGAACTGCTCATTTAAATTTAATCAATGGGAAATATCAATAGTAGACACAACAGTAACCCGTATAATTAAAAGAATTTATACTAGTAGGTTAGAAATTACCATAATTACTGCAGGTACCGTGGATCTTTATCTGCTCAGTACCTATTAATACCTAATGAGATACAGGTCATTATTCTCTCTTTGCCCTTATCTTTATTAGGGAGCAGCTTCCCTAATTACATTTCTTCATAAGTTTCTATCTTGGGTCATATTAATATTAAATCCTGCTTTAGCGCCTTCACCCTTCTTTCTTCTTCAAGTTCTGCTCGTATCGGAGATTGAAAATCATTCAATTCTTTCTTCTTCAAGTTCTGCTCCTATCGGAGATTGAAAATCATTCTGGCAATTAAAATTTTATAAAATGAAAGGCAGATATTGAGCACTATTTTATTAATTAAATCTAAATCTTAAATCTTTCCCAAGTACTTTCGCTTCCTAGAGCATCTTCAGGGGCATTTCCTCAAAGTATCCAGCTCCACTACAAATCCTCCCAGCACCGAGTCATTTAACCTAAATTTCTGACAAGAAAACTTAAGGCCTAATCCTAAAAAATACAATTCATCCTGGGAAAAGTTGGTGTTACTTAGATTTAAGACTCTAGAATAAAATTGGTGATCTGAAAACTTATGCATAATTGTTGAGTTACTTGTTTGTTGTTTTTGCAAAATCAAAGGGTTTAATTTGTTGTTAAGACTTTTATTCTTGATGGATTGTAAGCGTGAGACCCCATCTTCTATGTTGTTAAAGGAGTCGTTGACAAGAAACCAAGGATGTTGTTGCAAAATTTGATCATAAGTAATTTTAAGATTGATATTAATATTGTACCGGTTTTAAATAAAACGAGCGGTTCGAATTTATATAAATATATTTATTTATGACTTTACAGTTCGGTATTCTCTTATCAACTAAACTTAACTCCTAATTTCGTTACCTATATATACCAAAGTTACTATGTTCGAGAATATTCAGGATTAGTCCCATCTCTAATTCGTTATCTGACGACGGGTGGAATTTTACAGCGCTTGATATATGACCGGTAATTTCTCGTTCCTTCGAGATGCATCGGTTAAATGGCCATGCCGAAAGCATATTCGTAACACTGCTCCCCTCTTAGATCTGAGCGTCCCGATCAGCAACTCTATATATAGGCCCAGGATGGCGGAATCTACAGAACTCTCCAGCTCTGCATGAACCCCTCAGAAAGAAATAACAGTCTACTGTCTTTGAAGGACACGATCTCTTCGGATTAATGCAACACACAGTAATTCTTACACCGGTTTCTCGGAAGATCACTTCTAGCATGCTTCTGACAATCTTCCAATCCAGATTATCTAGTGCATGGCCTATCTTGGGTAAGGCCAAATTCTTAATGTCGTAATTGCAGACGATTTTCTTCAAATTAGTTAGAGCACACCATATATCCTCGTAGGTTGCCCTGTCTGTATACGACTTCCTGGTCACCATATACAGCAAAGATCGAGAACCATCTTCTAATCTCAGTACTCTTCCAACTTTAGGCTGCTGGTTTTTTAACTCGTCCAAACGACCGAACTTCTTATAAAATACGGATGAGATTCCTTTAGTCATCTCAAGATCTTGGGCAACACAGTGGGCTAGAGTGACGTTATGCGGAACACTAAAAAGATCCTGCTGAACTTCTGTCGTCACGCCGAATCTAGCATTCTTTCTCTCTGCGTAATTTGACATAAACTCCTTAAAGCTTGGTCGCCGTTTATCTTTGATCTCATGTTGAAGGGTTCGGACTTCTTCGGTTTCATTTGAGCCAGCATAAGGGGCAAGACGATTTATGTGAACTACTTTTGGTTTGCCTTTCGGCAACTTCTTAATTCGGTATATTACGTCATTTATTCTCTTTTTAATTTCATACGGACCCTCCCATTGTCTTTGCAGTTTAGGAGACAAGCCACGACGACGTTGTGGATTATAAAGCCAAACAAGATCACCTACTTCATAGCTTTCATTCTTGCATCGAGAATCGTATTGATCTTTCATTCTGTCACTGGCTAACTGGATGTGTTGTCGGGCAAGTTCATGAATGCTGTTCATTCTTAACTTCAGACGATCGACATAATCTTCGCTTGCAACATGTTCTTCGGAAGGTCTGCAGCCAAACTCTAGGTCGCAGGGCAAACGAACTTCACGACCTAACATCAGGCAGGTTGGAGTCTGGCCTGTAGTTTCATTCACGGCCGAGCGGTATGCCATTAAGAATAAATGAATGTGCTGATCCCAATCTCTTTGATGTTTTGATACAACTTTGGACAGGTGTTTACCCATCGTTCGGTTCATCCTCTCGACCATTCCATCTGATTAAGGATGCAGGGGTGTCGTTCTGGTCTTATTGACACCAATCAATTTACAAACGTTTTGGAAAAGGTTTGACTCGAAGTTTCGCCCTTGGTCGGAGTGGATCTCCAAGGGAACACCAAATCGGCTAAAGAATTCTTTAACAAGTACCTCTGCAACGGTAGCAGCTTCTTGATTTGGTAGCGCATAGGCCTCAGTCCATTTCGTAAAATAATCCATGGCTACCAGGATATATTTATTTCCATCATTTGTCTCTGGAAGTGGACCTGCAATATCGATTGCTACTCGTTCCATAGGACTACCAACATTGTACTGTTTCATGGGTGCCCTCTTTTTACCAACTGGACCATTACTGGTTGCACACAGTTCACATTTTCGGCACCATCTTCTTACATCATCTTTACAGTTCACCCAATAGAACCGTTCTCGAACCTTTTGCAGAGTCTTCGTAATACCAAAGTGTCCACCTGATGCACCGTCATGTAACTGACGCAATACTTCTGACACTTTACTTTTAGGTACAATCAACTGAAGCTTAGATTCTGTACCATCATCGTTCTCGAAGGTTCTATAAAGAAGATCATCTTTTAACACTAGGCAATTCCATTGGCTCCAGTAACACTTGACTTCAGGACTACATGCACTAATGTCTTGCCAAGAGGGCCTTTCACTTCGACGCATCCAATCCAATACTCTTTTTATACATGGATCATCTGCTTGAGCGTCTTGTAGCTGTTGAGGCTGCCATTGATCATTAATGACGGTGGTTCGTCTCACGGGGCAAAGTCTTTCTTCTAATTTAAGACAGTGATTACAATGTTCACTACACGGCCTTCTCGAAAGCGCATCAGCATTTAAATGAACTCTTCCAGCCCTGTGTTCGATCTCGTAATCATATTCTTGTAATCGTTCTAACCATCTTGCCATCTGGCCCTCTGGATTACGGAATTGTAGGAGCCATTTTAGAGCAGCGTGATCCGTGCGAAGAAGAAACTTTCTGCCATACAAGTATTTATGAAAATTCTCGCAAGCCTTTACTACGCCTAGCAATTCTCTTCTGGTAACGCAATAGTTTCTTTCTGGTTTCGACAAGACTTTGCTAAAGTAAGCGATGACTTTCTCCTGCCCATCTTGGATTTGGGATAGAACAGCTCCTATTGCACTGTTGCTTGCATCGGTGTCCAACACAAATTTTCCTGCCTGTCTAGGGTAGCTTAAAATCGGTGCGCTGATCAGAGCCATTTGTAAGTGTTCGAAAGCTCTTTGGCACTCTTCGCTCCATGTATATTCTTTGCCTTCTTCTGTCAACTTTGTTAATGGCTTGGAGATGTTGGCAAATCCTTTGACAAAACGTCGGTAATATGTACAAAGGCCAAGAAAACTTCTAATTTCGTGTTTGTCTCTTGGTACCGGCCAATCCTTAATTGCTGCAAGTTTTTCAGGATCAGCTGTTACACCATTACTTGCTACAATATGTCCCAAGTACTTCACTTCTCGTCGAAACAAGTGACATTTCTTCGGACTTAACTTCAAATTTGCTGCCCGCAATCGTTGAAAGACTTCTGTCAAATTATTGGCATGTTCATCGAAGGATCTTCCTACTACAATTACATCATCCAAATAAACCAGGCATGTTTTCCATGTTAGACCTCTTAAAACTGCCTCCATTAATCTTTCAAATGTGGCCGGGGCATTACATAAACCAAAGGGCATAACTGTGAACTGCCAAAGCCCTGATCCTATCGAGAATGCGGTTTTCTCACGATCAGCTGGCTCCATGTCTACTTGCCAATATCCACTTTTCAGATCGAGTGTGGAGAACCACCGAGAACCAGAAAGTGTATCCAAAGTATCGTCTATTCTGGGCAAAGGATAACTATCTTTTTTAGTTACCGCATTGAGCTGTCGGTAGTCAATACAAAAACGTGTTGAACCATCTTTCTTCTTTACTAGCACTACTGGTGATGTCCATGGACTGTTTGATGGTTCAATTACCCCTTGTTTGTTCATATCTTTGATGATGTCTTCGGCTTCATCTCTTTTCGCAAATGGAAGCCGTCTAGGTTGTTGTCTGATTGGCTGAGCGTCTCCGGTATTAATTTTATGCTTTACTATGCTTGTTTTGCCATTATCCTTCTTATCAATGGCAAAAACATCTTGAAATTCTATCAGCATAGACTTCACTTTTTTAGTTTGTTCATCATCAAGATCTTGGCACGTTTTAATCATCGTCTCAACAAGTTCCTTTGGATACTTAGATTTCGACGGTTTCTCATTAGTACTCATGGAACAAATCGAAGCCACGGGAACACACTGTCCGATCAAAGTTCTTTTACTTAACTTAATAGCAGCTCCCT